AGATTTAATTTACGATATCGTATATGGAGTGCCTAAAAGAGTTAAGGTCAAATTTATATAACGCGTTATGTGGTCAAATAGATATGGAAAATAGCCAGAACTGTAAGAGATCAATGATACCTCAGAATGCTATAACTTTCGTTAAACCTTTGATTTCTTAATTTCTCAAATAAACCGTTGACTCTGGAAATGTCTGGTATCGTTTAGAATACTCCACTTTTTGACCTATTGGGTAAATGTATTTTGCCCATTATAATCACAAATCTAAAGCCACTTTGAAAAGAAAGGTGAAACATTGGAATGAATAATACTGACAAAATTAAAATGTTTTAAAGGCTGTGAAATGTGTAGACAAAAATTAAAAATTAGTTGTTTCCGAGGCCGGGGACTCATCTAGAGATTAATAAAATTCATGAGAACAAGATTTTGCTGGGTAAATAATTAATTTTTTGTATCTGTTTAAAAAGACTAATTCCTGGACGTTAAGAACGTCTTTTTCTTCTATCGAAATATCTTTAAACTTTGCATAAATTCGCTGTCATTCTTTTTAAACGTCTTTTATTTGATAGAAACATTTATAACTGTTATTATATAATGGTTTAAGTATCGACGTTTTGTCCACTGTCCTATGAATTTTCCGCAACGTTTAGATATAGAAAGAACTTGTAAACGTAGTTAATTTTACAACAAAATAATGCAATCTTAAGACAAAATTATGTAAATATGAAGAATTACTACTGGTTACAGTTATAGGTGTGCTCATATTTCTTATTATAATAAATGTTTTCACACTTCGCTTCGTATACCTTATTTGCAATGTTGCAGTTTTATAAACTGTACGCGCAGATATAAATATGCAGAATTTGCGTATTTGGCAGCACTAATTTTTCAGATAAACATATAGTCACAAGAAGACAAGTATAGAATTGCAACTATAGTCGATGACGTTAGCTTAACTTGTGTGTTACAAAAATCACATTGAGTTTCTGTTCCAAACTGTTACATAAGGGCATTTTTATGCATTGAAACATTAATTTTTATAAATTTGTTATTATACGTATATAAATAAGAAATATGTTAAGCAACTTATAATTACATCATTTAGATTACTTATTACTATTCATATCTGTGCATAGAAACTATAGAATATTAAGAAGAATTTAATTATTTCTCAGAATAGTCTTTCTCTTTCTGGAAGCAAAGTATTTTTTTTCTCATATTAGTTTTTACAGATTAATTTTATTAATATACTTTAATAGCGAAAACATTTAGAAACTTGATGACAATTGCAGAAATGTATATTGTAAAATTACACTCCAAAGTGGCAATAATTGTATTATGACAGTAAATTAGAACTGTGCTTTTGTTTACTAATTAAATTCTTACTTTTTTTTCAGTACGCAGTTACGATAATGCTACCACCTGCGGTCTGGTATGGACACCAAACTTTGTAGCGTATCGCTGTCGCACATGCGGCATATCTCCCTGTATGTCCTTGTGTACCGAGTGTTTCAAGAAGGGAAATCACTATCGTCACGACTTCAACATGTTTCTCAGCCAAGCAGGTGGTGCATGCGACTGTGGCGATACGTCTGTGATGAAGGAGACTGGGTAAGATGATTAACACGAGTACATTCCGTGCAATAGTGGAAATCTGCGGGATGTACTGAAATCATGTTGATTTCGAGAAAAAATTTCAATTTTCTTTAAACATTACTAATTCTCTCCCTTTTTCCATCCGTTGTAAGATTTGTCTCAGGGATATTTCCACAGATTTCCTTATGCGATTCTTTATCGAATACTTTATGAATTATTTTTCTTTATCGCTGACTGTCGTTTTTTGTCTTACAGATTTTGTGATAGGCACGGGCCAAACGCTGCTGTAAATAAATCAGTCGCACCATCTAATCTGATGTGCGTAGCCGAGGCGATGATGCCCAGAATTATTCTTCGACTTATACAACATTTACGTGAAAATTGGTACGTTGATTACATTATACTCCGGCGGAAAATTATTATCGACTTCTTGAGTGATGAGTTTGTAGCACAAAGTAGGTCTTTCTTTAAACACATCTGAACTCTTAGAATGTAAAAGACCTTTTGCTCTCTCTCTCTCCCCACATGATGTAAACTGATATGCATATTTCGGAGTATGGATATCTTAAAGTTGCATAATTTGTGCTGCTTAGAATTAAAATGACCATATCTTAGAAACGAAATTTTTTTAGATCTATGTTTACTTAGACTTTTAATTCTAAGACGTAGAATGTGCCTGTAAATTTGTGCTTGAATTATCTTTAAAGATTTTTAATTCAGAAGAATATTGGAATAAAATTGTAATATATGTTAATAATAATCATTCTAATGATTGATTATTGTTTTGCTTATTTTCAGTAAAATGGGGGTGCCAGATTACAGAGGTGCTATACACGAGGCAGACGCTTACTTGACCATGTTGCTCGACTTGAACAACATGGGCGCATTAATGAGGCACGTTATGACGTCAGCTCTCACGAATCCGCAAAAGTACCGAGGCCTCATGGATCCCTCCGTATTAACGGGACAATCGGAGTACGACAGCTATTGTCAAGATAGCAACAAAATATATCAGCATGCTGTGAAATCGCTACCAAATCCCGAACCTCCGGACGAATATAAAGGTAAGTAATTGCAATATGGACAATTTCACGATAATTTGGTTATCAGTAATGATTTTTACAATAAAATAATTTGCACTAGTATATTCGACTTAATGACATGATTATGAATTTTTTTTTTTATAGAATGCGTGTCACTTCAAGAGCACTTAGAACACACCACATTCTTGGAAGAACTGATGTTCTGGACCGTTGCTTACGAGTTTCCGCAGAAATTGGTCTGTCTGCTCTTGAACATGTTGCCGGATCCTGATTACAAGGAGGCTTTAACTCGCGCCTTTGTGTTACACTACAGCAGGATCTCAATGATGCTCGAACGTTCCACGGATCCCGACACGTTGAGCAATAGAGTTGTGCACGTTAGCGTACAGGTATTTACCTTGTTTTAAGAAATAACATGTATGGCAAATTTTCATTTACGTTTTCTTTATATTTTTGATATTAATCGTCAACTTTTATACTTTTCAGCTGTTTAGTAACGAGAAGCTGGCATTAAGGATGGTTGATCAATTGAAGTTATTACACGTTATGGTTATTAGTTTAAAATACATGATGAGCAAAATACTCATTCAAAATACCTTGCACGGTACGTACGAGTCTTTTTTTAAGATGAAATAAAAATAGACTTAAAATATAAACTCAAACGGAGTTTGAGCAGTAAGATTGAAAGGAAGATTTATTTTTGTATTTCAGATCCAGATAAGAACTTCCATTATGTCGTGGATTGCGGACGTCAAGTGATGAAGGAGCACTGTTACTGGCCATTGGTTTCCGACTTGAACAACGTGCTCTCGCATAAGCCGGTCGCCGTTAGATTCATGAGCGATAATACTCTCCTAGAAATGTGGTTCGACTTCCTGTCTATGTTTCAAGGCATGAATGTCAATCAGAGAGAGTTAAGTCAGCACGTCGAGTTCGAGCCCAACACGTATTACGCGGCGTTCAGCGCCGAGCTGGAAGCCAGCGCGTATCCAATGTGGGCCTTGGTGTCGCATCTCCGTGGGCCTGAAAGTGCGTCATTAAGCCGACAAGTGCTCAGCTTCTGCCTCACAGCCCTGCAGGATTGGCTCGATGCCGTGAATTATACGGATCCGAATGTGGTGAGTGCAACTCTTTTCCATTTTACATTGTACCTCAATGCATTTATAATTTATACGTTCTTCTTCATCGTTTTTTTTTTCCCCAGAGTGATAGTTTGCAAGTATCGTTTCATCTACCGCTTCATCGGTATCTCGCGGTGTTCATGTGCCAAGCGATCCGACAGCAAGGAGCAACTCTGCACGAATTATTGCCGCCCACGGATATGCTACATCTCCTCATGATGCATCCGCTGCGAGTACAGGTGAGTGCACATTTTTCTTTCCGTTTTAATTAATCCTTTGCGGACGCACAATCCAAAACTTGTCAAAAGCAGCTCTTCGAGTTTTCTTAAAACCGAAGACCTTTAATTTCTTATTGTAATGCTCCTTATAGGTCTTTTGCACCAATATACGAATTATTTGATATTCGATCAGACTGTTTATTTATTTAAATAATTAGATTAATAGAAATACGATTGAAATACTTTGGTCCGCAAAGGGTTAATGGTCTCGAGATGAATATGGGGATTTCTTGTCGACTTCATGCATATCTATGATACATTACTTCCAAACAGTCAGCACATATGCAGATATAGACTTCGTCATTATGACAATTTATTTTGAAAGACATACATTAATTGTCACATAAGGAAAACCGAAGAAAAAATTGATCGACGTACAATATTACGTACAAAAATATTACGAACTCAGTTACGAAAATTTCAAATAATGTCCATTATGAAATTATAAACTAAATCTGAGAGACGGTTTATAATACAATTTTATATAAAGTCGCGATATGGTAAAAAAATCATTGTACAATACTCTTTTCTAATCTTAATCTTAAATCTAAAATGAAATATTTTCTTACATCATAATCTTTTGGAATTTCTTAAATCTGCTATATATGTATGTGTGTATATATATATTTTTTTTTAATGGTAACCAAATCGCACTGCAAAGAAAACGGCAGCATTGTGCCGTCACAAATATTTATCTACAATATTTCTAAATTCAATATGACAATATGAGATTCGTTAAATATATCGTAAATCTTAAAAAAGTTTTCACTAATATTACTGACAGATAATTAATAATGAGTATAACAAGTTTAATATAAAATTTATACGTAATATTACAGAGAGTACAAGACTTAAATATTATTGTTAATTGCATAAGAAATGTCGGTTTTACGTCAGAGATTCTGCATTTTCAAATTAAGTAATTTTCAAGGAGACAAGGTATACGTAGTTAAAAAAGATTACTCGGAATTAGAAGTCATTTTCGTAATCACACTTCGATCGAATGTAAAATAGAATCTAAGAATGGAAAGGGTTAAAGATAATAAAAGATTAAGTTTTGTATCTCGAATGTTAGATAAATTCCAATATCTATTTTTTTTTGTTTCGTGCTTTATTTAAAAAATTCAATTTTTTTCTACAGCTGAAACATTTGAAAGTGTTAACACATTTCGTATGCAATAACTCGATACATATCTTCGTTTTTTACCTCGATACGTATATTGAGGTCCTTGGCAAATCACAGGTTCTTTAATCATTATTTCGATAAAATATTCAAAAAACACGAAAGGTTCTACGAAGCTTTTATCTCATTCGGACTTTCGAGAACCGGCGGTGCCGGTGGCAGATCGATCTGTAGGTGGGGCGCGAAATCGTAGGTGGTCAATTTCAATGCGACGAATCCGCCCGAACCCTTTCGACCCTTGTGAAAGATACCGGCGCCTGAGAGCGGTACCGGCGGATTCGGGGTGACCGGTTGAACGTCGATGAAGGGAATCGTGCTTTGTGCGGCGTCCTTGCGTCGATCGCTCGGTGCGAAGTTCAAGTATTGATTCTCCCCGGAGTCTGGTACGTTCGGCAAGGAATTGCGAATCGGTATGTCGGGTTCGGTGTATGCCAACTCGGTTCTAAAAACCATAGATATACGATCAACGGACAGCGTTATCGCGCGCGGAAAAATCAAGTCTCTCTTTGCCATGCTAAAAAGGGAGTAAACCTCACCTGCTAGTAACGTCGTTGCTGTGCCAGAAGCTCTTTTCCTTAGGTTGAATTAACAATCCGGATGTGAAGTTAAACGGAGATATCATTATTTCCAAATTCAGCCGGCTACCAACCATTCGGAACCGGATACCTGAAACAGATTTTAAATATTATAATGTTTAGCAAATTTTTTTTTTAAAGAACGCTTTATATTTTATATCAGATAAATGCGCGTTGCACATTCGCATAAAATTTACGTACTAAGATTTCAAAAGATTTTTTCATTTACCTGTCAAAAGATGATCTTGCAATGACAACAGATTGTCGAGGTCCAAAGCGCGTTTTTCCCATACCATTGTATGGTAGTCGATGCCGTTTATAATGTGAGGGTCCATGATTGAAAAGGCATCGACTGATTGCCATTCGATTGTGGATGCATTAATCGCTCCGCGTGGAAGTAACTGACCCTCTTGAATTTGTATATGAATAACTCGGTTTATCTTCTTCAATCTCACTCCCGTTATGACCCTGTAAGTAAATAGGTGTTATACCTTCAACCCATCTTTGATATAAATTACTTTCTATTGATACTATTACGTTCTATTGAATTTTATGAATTCTATTAATCTTATTAAATTTGATTCGTTCTGTTGATCTCTGTTACTCAAGCTATTTGCTATTCTTACTTATTGTGCGAGATATCGGACACGACGGATCGAAGACTGAAATAACGGTCGGAACTCGAATTTTGATCGTCGCAGTAGCAAAAACAGTAGCTGCAATGCCAGAAAAGCCATCGCCACCAGCTGTCGACTTTAAACGTATCTCTGGAACACGACTTTGCGTTTCCATAATGAAGACCATTTTCATAGTCGATATAATCGTATCGCCTACTACTGTTTCTGTCCTAGAATGCGAAAAAGTTTAAATTAGTGATTGATAAATTATTACGTTACATAATTTTTTTAAGTGCGGAATAGGTTCCTTAAATCCGTAGTGTTTTATACAAGATATTTTTTTTATTTCCTAATAAATTATTTTTTTAATTTTGAGATTCTAATTTTATTGTAACTTTAATTTTTTTTATTTTAATTTTAATCCTTTTGATTCTAAATTTAATTTTACAATTAATTATTTTTCTGAGTTGTACAATTTAATTTTTACTTTTCAGCAGTGCACAATTTATAATTTTTTCGGGATTGCTTTTCTTTTAGTCGTTTCCAATTCTTCGAACAGAATATGTTTATTAAATAATACTTACCGAGGGGCAGATCCACATGTCAGAATCAATGTATTCACAGTTCAATATCTTTCCATTACATTGACGTTGTTTCGCGCAAAATTGATTCTGATAGCAACCGTACACCTTACTGTATCCATAATAAGCGCAGTTCTCTTTGCACGTGGCATGGGTGTTTAAATCCACTTCGTTTACGATAAAGCCTTGGAATAGTTGTTTCAGCTCGGTATAGGTTTCATCTAAATAAAAACCGGTAACGTGTATGCAAAACTATATACATCCAGTTGCAAATCATATATAAATTATCGATATCTTTGCGACGTATGTATCTGTATAATTTAATTATTTTTATTTAGAAGACTTTACCTAACTTGTGCACATTTGGATCGCATCTCCAAAGACTTCTTGGGGCAAAGGCCATCGCGGTTTTCACGGCTCTCAACGTCTCGGATGTCCTTATCGCGTATTGATGTTTCAGCGTCTGTATTTCCTCGTTAAAGTTAATGCCTGTATTTAAAAGATTTATAAGGATTAGATATATTCGAATCGATAATCGCATTCAACTATCTTTTTCGATTCGCGACGCGTGCAACTAATTTTTTTATTATTATCTCATTTATTTCTTAATCTTTGTCAATTCCCCGATTTTTTGGATGGCTTCTGGTTCGTATTACGTTCTGTTATGTAAAATGTATACATTGTGTAACGTATACATAATACATTTGTATACATAATACAAAACGTAATATACCATAATATCATAACAAAATATAACAAGACATGAAGCAAAGTTCTATTCTAAAGTATCCATGGTCGTTAAGCGTGTAAATATTTGACTTCTGAGTTTAAACTCCGAACAGAAACATAAATATAAACATAAACGTTAGCTTTTTAGACACTTCAAAAATTTATAATCTTTAACATCGAGAGTGTCTTTACAAATTGTTATCAGCTTCAAGTTTTAATTTGTGACATCTATATGCAATCTATTTCATTCACAAGCTCGCGAAAAAGAAGATTGATCTCAATCGCTCCGTGCAGACCGCGCGACGAAAATACTGTATGTAGGACGCCGTATATTTAAACGTATGATCGTCGGTACCACGTACCTTCATCAAACAGACGTAATAGCATATATGAGAATTGAATCATAGTGTAACCCTTGATCTCCGTCAGCGCTACGGCATTATACAAATTGTACAGCAGTTGCTGCGACGATTGCATCTCATTGCACATTTGGTTCGACGCTTCCTGCACATACAAGAATATACTTTGCAAACCTTTCGAAGACGAATATTATGTTATTTTGCGATCAGGAATGAACGCATCGCTCTGTGATATTTTAAATTCTCCGCAGGCGCCACGAATTTTCTTGGACCTTCGATGCGTATACACGGGCGTTTTAAAAATGACTTTAAGTAATCGACTAATCGACTAAAAGCCTTAAGTTATTAGTATCTGCTTGCTGTAAACAAGTATTTATCTCGCTCCAATAGAGACGACCGTAGAGAAGACCGTATCTTGAGGACAAAAAAAATGTTTTCTCTGAAAAATATATCATCCGTGGAAATACAATCTTTGCGGCCGTCTGTTTAGGTACCTGATACGCCGCGATGAACAACTTTTCGTTGACAATCAGAGTCGCGATACGGTCGAGCGCTCTCGGGATTGCGGCGTTCGGATCCCGCAGGATCGTCTCGGCGAAATTCGTCAGCTGTTTCGCGTTGACCGGCGCGTTCAGGTCGACAATTTCACGCTGCATCTGCCGGAACACTCCGTACAGGCCGTTGACGCTCTCGATCTCGTTCTGGGCCCGGGCCCAAAGCCACAGGGAGTCCAAGGAGCTCAGGTAGCTCTCCCGATCCCGGGGGAATCGCTCGTCCAACTGGTTGCCGAATCTTTTGTACGCCTTGATCAGATGCAGGTACTTATCCCGCGCCTCGACGTTCGTCCATTTCTGCTGATTGGCCAGATCGGTCCTCAGCTCTTTCTCCAGGTTTAACAAAGTCTGCCTGGCCAAGTCGACCGGCGACGCGTCATTCTTGATCGCGGCGAAGGCTGCCACAACCAACGCGCCCAGTGTCAGCAAGCATGTGAAGTGTCTCATTCTCGTATAGTCGAACCTTCGCCGATGACTCACTCGCTTTGCTTGCAGTCCGCTCAGCAGGATTTCAATTCTCCTCTTTGTCTAATCTTCTCGACGAGTCTTGATCTGAAGACACGAAGACACGAAAATCCAGGATCGTATTTTGAATTGTTTTTTTTTTTGTTCTTACTGCTATTATTAACGCGTGAATGTATTATTTCGTTATTAGTATTCAATACTGATTCTTGTCGTTCGTTTTATCCTACGTT